ATAGATGGATAGATATTAATATGAGCTGTGCACTGCGACCTGGTGATCTATTGTGCCCTCTTCTCTTCACATCACTTCATCTAAGCCCAGCTCCCTCAGAAAGTTCAATAGTGCCTTCGGGGGTAGGGAGTGGATGTGTTCAAGCTGTGGCCACAACGAGCCTAAACTCCTCTCAGGTCTTCTGCAGACAGCCTCACATTCGGTGAGAATGTGAAGCGGCGTCTCAATGGTCAGGTCGCAGAACCTACAAAGATCATTCGACCATATGCCCAGCTTATGTAGGTGACCCCTAAGTCTGCAGTGTCCTATAAGGAAACCTGTTAAAATTCTAAGCCTCTCTTTTGGGAGGTTTATTAAACCCTGAAATCTTTTCTTGCTAAACCCTCCAAGTAAACTCTTTGTCTGGCGCATTCCTACCGAACTGCGCCAGTTAAAATTCCTTAGTGTGGCCTCTCTCTCCTAAGCTCCTCCTTTATGGTATTGGGACCTACTCCCAGGAAGGGCTCTGGGCCAACTGGGGTGATGGCTGCCGCCTCTATAGCGAGGCAGTCTGCAACCTCATTTTCCTTTACTCCCCTATGGCCGGGTACCCACGCTAACCTGATGTTATTGTGTCTGACAAGGGAGTTTAGCTTCTCAATGCACTCAAGGACCAGTGAGGATTTGACTTCAAAGGATAGAAGAGCCTTGAGTGCCGCCTGACTATCACTCAACATTATAATTTTCTCATTTCTATACCCTCTACTCATGATTGTTTCCGCACATAGATAGATTGCATAGACTTCTGCTTGGAAGATGATCGGGTATTTCCCCATAGGAACATAGATTCTTCTTCTGGGCCCAAGGACTCCTGGCCCTACTCCATCTGGGGTCTTCGAGCCATCTGTGTACCAGTGCAGTGTGCACTCATGTAGTAATCCATCGAATGCGGGGGCGCTCCAGATTGTTTTGCTGCATAACTCTATCTTAAATCTCTTATAAAATACTATAGTTTTCCTATGTCATCTCTAGGGAACAGAGAAAGCGGGATCGAGGCCCCTAGCTTCTCCATATTCCTAGAGGATATGACTTTACCTTTGCCACATCCCTCTCTAGCAAAGCTGAGTAGAGTTATTTTGGCTGCCTTCTCTATGGTTATGTGAAAAGGCTCGAGTTCGAGGACTACTTCCAGCGCCGTCGTCCTACATGTGCGCATTGGTCCAGTTATGCATACACAAGCCAGTTGTTGTAGCTTGGTGAGTGATTGTCTCACCGTGGCCAGAGTAGTTCTTGAAACCCAAGCCACTGCCCCATAGGTAATCATTGGCTGTACTATCATGATGTAGAGCCATCCTAGGATCCTGGGGCTACGACCTCAGGATTTTCCTGCTAGACGCTTACACACCATTAACGATTTCGTGGCCTTGGAGGTGATTGCGTCCACATGCTTCTTCCATAGAAGTTTTGTGTCTAGGATTATTCCCAGATACTTCACTTCGCTGGCGACGCCGACCACGACCTCCTCCAGGGTTATGTCCCTCATGCCCAAGAGGGCTCTCTTTCTGGTAAATGGGATGATGGCGGTTTTGGCCGGTTTGATGCTAAGGCCCAACTTAGCACACCATCTTTTTGTTAATCTTAACCCTCTTTGATTAATGTCGCAGAGGGTGCTCTCAAACTTCCCCCTGGCAATGATCACTATGTCATCCGCATAGCCTTGGCAGTGGATATCATTTTCAGAGAGAAGCTGAAGGAGTTCATCTACCACTAAGCTCCACAGAAGAGGGGATAGAACCCCTCCCTGTGGGCAGCCATTTATTGCTAATAGCTGTACCACGCTGTCCCCCACCTTGGTTTCAGCAATCCTAGTATGCAACAGCGTATCCACCCAGTTGCAGATCACTGGCTGTACGTTTCTCTTCTCTAGTGCCCTGCGCACACCAGTGTGAGACGTATTGTCGAACGCTCCTTCTATATCGAGGAAAGCGCAGAGCACTGTTTCTCCGCATTCAAAAGCCCCCTGAATTTCGGTTGTCAGTTGATACAGGGCTGTGTCCGCGGACCTTCCAGCTCTGTATGCATGCTGACAAGCGTGTAGGGGTTTCACCTTCAGAATGCTAGATCTTATGTAATTGTCCACTACCTTCTCCATTGCTTTTAGCACAAATGAGTTAAGGTCTGAAAGACTTTGCAAGCGAGTAGTCCCTATTGCCCACCTTCGGGATAAAGATTACTCGCGCCCTCCGCCACACCAGTGGGACATAAGCCCTCGCAAGGCTGCTTCTCATTATGTCCGCTATGTGTGCTATTAAGTTCTCTCCACCCTGCTGCAACATGACTGGATGGATGCCATCTACCCCTGGGGCCTTATATCGGTCAAACGATCCCAGCGCCCACCTGACTGAATCCTGGGTGAAAATACTTCTTGCCAGTTTCCATTCACATGCTCGCGGTCTAGTTCACTGGACCCCTGGCCCCTGTTCTAAGGTAGTGGCCTCCGGGAAGTGAGTTGCAAGCAGAGTGGTTGCCCTCTCATATTTGCTGTTTGTATAGGTGCCAACCGGATGCTTTAATGCTAACTCCGATTCCACCGTTCCTCTGGCAAGAGCCTTGTGTAACCTCGCGGCCGGTGGAGTGTTCGAGATGCCTTCACAGAAGGTTCTGAAACTTTCTCTCTTGGCCTCTCTCTTGGTTAAAGGCGTCGGTCAGTATGTCCGTCAACCTATTACCCCTATATTCTAGCGACAATTTGCCATCTCTTCTATGTTGCCTTTCTATACCGGGTAGGTTAAAATCTAATAGTTTTCTATATTTTTTCCAGTCTGCATTCCTGGGGTCCCCACCGGAGGACTTACCGTGGCCTCCGCTCCGAGCACGAATTGGATAATTCTATTATCAGATAACGAAGGTCAAGGACCTCCTGTCTTACTCTGGTGACAAACGTCGGACAGTGTCCAACATTGTTTATACACATATCTTCGCTTAGTAGGTATTCTAATAAGGACTCACCCCTTTTATTGGTGTCGGTGCTCCCCCACTCCACGTGGTGCGCATTTGCGTCGGATCCGAGGACAAGAGGAAGTCGGGTCTTCCGGAAATGCGCCACCAGTTGTTGTACCTCTGCCGGGGTTATGGTATTACTGTCCCAGGGGAAATATGCAGCAGCGAAGACTAATTCCACGGGCCTTCCATTCACCCGAAGTGTCACTTGAACTGCTACCAAATCTTGCGTTAAAAGATCTGTAATGCATAAATAATCAATATCGTTTCTAAGCACTACGCATGCTCTGGGCCTCTCTGCGGCGAGGTCCCATATTACCTTGTTATTCGCTCCTTTGAGGCCCCTTACCTGGCCTCTGTAAGTCCACGGCTCCTGAATGAGTATAATGCCAAGATCGTCCGTAGAAAACCTGCTAGCAATTGCATGGTGCAAGTTGATCTGGGCAACTCTCAGGGGGGCGGTGGGTACCTCATCGCTCGTCGAGGTCCGAGAGCCTTAGGTCGCTCTCGCTTTTCCCGTCGAGCTCAAGCCTTCTCAGGTCTAGTCCCTCCATCAGCTCCTGCGTTGAGGGGACCTGCCCCTGTGCAAGAGCCGCTGATACTAGCTGGTTGGTGCCTAGCGGGTTGAAAGTTTGGGCTGAAGGTGCGGGCTGGCAAACCTATGCGTCCTCTACCGCTGTAGCTGTTGTAGCTGTTGACACGGGGGGACTTCGTCCACCTGCATATTTCCCTCGTCAGCTACCTTCTCTTCTTCCGCTGCCTTTTGTCGCCAGGACCTCATTGTAACATAGCTGAACCTAAAGTTCAGCTTATACTCAGCCCTCCTGACGCTAATGAAGGATTCCTCATCTATGCCCACGTTTAGCCGCATCCTCAATGCTGCTCGAGATGACGCGCCACGCTGGTGTGTTAAGACCTTCGTTTTGCGCCCTTAGCAGCCCCATCACATAATCTGCCGATCTGTCAGCACTTCTCGGCAGGAAGATAGTCATATTATGCATTGGTGGTATTTCATCACCCCGCTTGACGCATAGTGCAACTCCCTTCCAGCTCCCTAGTTTTGGAGCAAACTCTTCCAGCCATTTTGCCGTACCCTCATCCATGCAGTCCACAAGGAGCATACCTGGACGGAAGTTAATACCTGCAGGGTAGTCAACTCATCCGGACTCAGCGCCCCTTAGCGCGTCAGAGTAGCTGTGCGCCTGCCCTTCGCCGCCGCGCAGACGTTGGGCCCCAGTGCCTACCCCCGGGTCCCAATGCCGGAGGGGGTGGAAACTCACGCTGCTTCTTTGAAGCCAAGTTCTGGGGGGGTTAACTGCCCGCTCTCCCGCTTTGCAGCGGGTGCGGTTTCACCGGAACCACTTACCCTTTTCCTCTGGTCTCCGTGCTTCTCATCCCGACTACAATGCCCGCTCTTCCTCTTTTTAGCGGGTGCGGTTTCGTTTACGCACCTGTCAAACCTTCTGCACGAATCACGGGTTTGCTCAACGCTCCGCTTGGGCTTGGGTTCCGCCTTCTTGTTGTAATGCCCGCTCTTCCGCTTTTCAGCGGGTGCGGTCTGACTGCCGGAAGCCTCTGCACCATGCTGCTGGTGCTGCCCGCTCTTCCGCTCATTTGCGGGTGCGGTCGTTTTGCCCTCGCGCTCATTGCCGCGTCTGCTCGACTCCTGCTGGGGTGATCTGCCGAGAGCCAGTCTCCTGGCTACCTCGGGAGTTTTACCTTGCTCTAGGTGCCTGACCTCATTTGCGCGCCGCTGAGGCCCAATCGTCTACGGTCGTCTAGGTAGCCAGGTTGCCCTCGACCCGGAACTGTAGGCGGGTTCGCCCGCCTATCCATACGGCGGTCTCTGTCCCGCCGCATGGACTCGCGCGATGTTGTCGCGCTGGACTGGCTTGGAGACCTGTGGCGCTCGCATGACGATTCGCTGTGGTGCCTACCTCTACCTCTTGTCGTCATCGGAGTCCCTCAACGCCCTTTCGTGGAAGATACCACTTCTCGTTTAGGTCTCATCATCATCCCTCTCGTGCTCAATGAAGAGCGCTGCTTCGGCATCGGAGATACCCTCTGGGTTATTAAACATTAATTTCACTAACTCCTTGCTTGTAAGATATTTTCCCCTTTCGGGGGGCTCAAACTCATTTGCTAAAACATATATAGTGTGTACCGGAGTTGAGGGTGTGAGGCCTATACATCTGCGTAGGGTGGAGTTTTGGAAGGTCATAATTTTTTTGTTTATTGTTTTTGATATCTTAGCAGCCGTAGTCTTTGCATATTCAACCTTTGACCTGATGAAGCTTTTGTATAGGTTCACCGCCACTTTTGGTGTTATACCTGCTTTTACCGGGGTCAGGCATTTTAAAAAGTTTGAATTTTTCTTTGTTTCCTTAACTAGCCCTTCAAAGTGAGGCCCAACCGTTAGTGATGCGTTGATGGTTCTACCAATAAATTTTATATGTCTGACCTGTTCAATCTGAAAGTCGTTTATTTTCATGTTGATGTTTTTCTTGCTGCCTCGGGCTAGGTACATAAGTTTGGTTTTTTGAATATTAAAGGACAAATTTAATTTAGTACATATCTCACTGAAATTTTTAACCTTCCGTTCAAGGTTTGAAACCACCAAGTCGCAGTTGTCCCCATGTGCTAAAATCAAGAAATCGTCCGCAAACTGATACACGTCTGTCACTGAGTCCTCAATACTATGAAGTTCTTTTGTGTACACGTTGAAGAGTAGTGGCGAGAGACAGCTACCCTGTGGTAGGCCATCCTCAACCACTATCGATTCGTTGCCAAGAAGTAAGATTCTTTTTTTTTTCAAGTCCATAATCCAGTTATTATATGGGTCAGGTAATTCCAGGTCCGCTAACATAGTATGTAGTTTGTTCAAAGACACACAATAATAGGCGTTGCTTATGTCCAGGGTCAGGACCACAGCCTTTTGCCCTGCGTGTTTAATATTAGCAACTTTGTGTAGGAATTCATTAATGCACATGGCTGCAGATTTACCTTTTCGATAAGCATAGCTTCTGTCTGGATATGAATTTTTACTGTTTAGAAATTCCTCTAGTCTACCCTTGACCATGAGATTTATTGTCTTTATGAGAACAGATATCAGAGATATCGGTCGAAAATTCTTATAATCACTTACGTCCTTGTCCGCCTTGGGTATCGGTACCACCCTTATTCTACGGAGTGAGTCGTCAATTTTACAATTTTGAAAAGCATCATTAAAAGAAATTAGTAGGTTTTTTTGCGCCGTTTCCGACCGAGCTCGTAGCATTTCGTATGTGATCTGATCACACCCCCCTGCTGACCTTTTCGTTTTCTTTTTTAGAACATTTTTCAGTTCCTCTTCCCCAAAAGCAGGCACCCATGACTCCAGGACATCCACTTTTTGTGCAATTTCATTATTATTGGTATTTGCATCTTGTCTAACCTGATTTTTCAGATGCTGCAGGTACACTCTATTGTTCGTGTCGTCCCACTGTTGTTTGGATTCCGAAGATCCCGCATTTTTAATATTTTTTAAGAATTTCCATGCCTCTCTGGTGTTGGGGTGACTATTGAGTGAGTTAAGATTTTTGCTGTAGTTTTCCTTTTTAGCTTCTTCTACCGCGTTTTTCCAGTTTTCCTTGGCTTCAGTCGCTTCCTTAAAGTTTTGAACCGTGGGATACTTGTTGCACTTTTTATTTGCAGCTAGTTGTAGCCTGAACAGTTTTTCCAAACCTTCATGCCACCAGGACTTGGGACGTCGCGTATCCTTGACAGTGAAAGTGGAATTTTTTATTTCGCTTGATATCGTTTTCTCAATTTGGTTGATGTTAGTGTCCAGCTTGGTAGTGCCTAAGTTGTTGAACAGATGTTTTTTAGCAAGGAAAACAGGATTTCTTTTTTCGATCTTATCTAAGTGTATCACAATGGGGTAGTGGTGGCTGCCACCTAATTGACAGGGGACCACTTCCCACGTTGTCTTTGTTGCAATGTTAGTGAGAGTTAGGTCCAATACAGAGCCCCTAGCAGCTCCTAAGTTCGCTTTGAAGGTTATTGACCCGTTGTTTAAACAGGTAAAGCTTGAGTTATTTACAAAGTTTCTAAAAAAGTAGCCTCTACTAGATTCAATAACATCTCCCCACTCAGGTGTCCTAGCGTTAAAGTCCCCACATATCAGAACGTTCTGATATACTTCCAATGCTGTAAAAAGTTTCAATATTGCTTCCTTAAAAACCCCAACGCTTAAGGAAGGCTCAAAGTACACAGCACATATTACCAAGTTTCGAGCAAGGTTACAAGTTTGAACAATACATATGTCATGATTAGTATCAAAATTTATCTTACGGAATTTAATGGACTTTCTAAGGCCAATGGCCACCCCCCCATATCCATCATTTCTATTCTTTTTTATAATGTTGAAATTTAGAATGTTTTTCTTCACTACATACGACTCCTGAGAGAAAGTTTCGATCAGGCAAAAAATATCTATGTTGTACTTGTTTACATAGAATTCAACATGATTAATATTTTTATTTAAAGACTGACAGTTATGTTGCAGAATCTTCATGTACTTCTGTACTTGAAAGCGGATTAATAGTAATGAACTTGTGGTCTAAATCTAAGCAGAATTTCTTGAGTCTATCATCAAAGTGAGCAAAGGCGGTTACCCCTGCTGGAAAATCTATTCTTCTAAAAGCATCACTTGCAAATTTAATCATTTCCGAAACCAGTTTCTCCATTTCGGACACAATGTGTACATTGTTTTTTCAAAGCCACACCATAGGCTTCCATTGAGGCTACTCTCTTTTTTGTTTTGTCACTCATGTCCTCACTGACTTCAATATATTTATTTTTTTTTAATTGACTGGTTTTGTTTTGTCTGTGTTTTGCCATTGCTGCGTAGCTTTTAGGTGTTAGAATCTCGTTTACTTCCGCATCCCTGTCTCTTATGGTTTCTCGACGTTGACCTAAGCCAGGAAACTCATCCTCATCTAACAAGCTAAAACGATTTGACGCAAAGGGCGTGTAAGTCTTTATTACTTCCCTCCTAGTTAGTTTTTTAATTGTCATTATTTTACTAATCTCCTCTTCCTTTTCCCACTTTGAACATTTTTTCTTTTCGTTTGCTACATGATTTTCATCACTACAGAGAAGGCGACTTAATGGGTATAGTATAGGCCCAGCTAAGTTTAAAATACACAATGAACCATAATTGTGCATACGGCCATAAAAAGGGGGTTTAACTTTACAGAATGCCTCGCTTCACGGCCACCCGCACTAAGACCGAGAAACGGGTCGATCATTTTAAGATTCCCTGTCGGTTGTGCGGTAACAACCACGGAGTACGACTCTGCCCCATATACCGAGGGAAATCCGCCGAGGAAAGGTTGCGGGCGATTTTGATACATCGGTACTGTCCCAACTGTTTGTCGCCATTCCATCGGATAGAAATATGTGGAAGCAATGACCGATGCCACCGCTGCGACGAAAAGCACCATACCCCCCTGCATATTGAAGACTAGGGCGATCCAAGGGAAACGACGGCTCTGACGGAGCGATTTCGCTCCACGTGTCCGACCAAACGACGTCATGGGCGAAGCAGGTAGAGGAAGAAGAGGTGGAAAGACGGGAAGAGATAATCCCTCCACCACCAGACGGCGGCTTGAAAACCCGCAATTTTCGACCGCCGCTACAGCACGAACTTGAAGCAGACAGTCCCATGCCAGCAGTGCTGTCACACACACAGCCAACGGGCGGTCAACGAGATGACGCGGAAACTAGTCCTTTTCGCTCATATCGGCGCGGAACCAATTCTGGCCACCGAGATGACGCGGAAACTCTTCCTTTTCGCTCATTTTGGCGCACGCGTAATTGCAGCCAGCGTGATGGCGCGGAAACTCGTCCTTTTCGCTCGTCGCGCTGGCAAGCAATAAGGGCCGCACGACACCGACGTGGCGACCGTTCCTCCCTCACCATCCAACGCATTCCATCGGGTGGATTCCGGACAGGCAAGTTAAAAACAATCGCGGTTCCAGCACCAATAATGCGTTCATTCGTAGCCATCGCCCCAACCGCAATTGTACGGATCGAGTCAGGCGGCCGACTTCATCTGGTGCGGGCGTTGATTGACTCTTGCGCCCCCCAGCAGTACCATCGACAGGGACCTAGCACGGGAGCTTCAGCTCGAAGCCAGCAACGCCCGCGCGAAAACATGTTCCCCCGTGCTGCGAGGAAAGTACGGGGTCGCGGAACGGGTAAATACTCAGGCCAGGCTAGTTACGCGATACAACCGACTCAGCCCCGCGGCTAACATCGACCCAACGATAGCGACGCCGTTTCAATTTATGCGTCTGGCGGATCCACAGTTCTATCGGGCCACCCCCACTTGACTAACACTTGGCGTTGATGTGTACGCCCAGGTCATGGTATGTGGCACTCCGCCAACAACGATCGGCGGTTTACTGGCGCAAGCTTCCATGTTCGGGCTGATTATATCAGGAGCTCACCAAATGTGACAAAACAGTTAAAATTTTATATTTAATATTCATGAATACATACCGAATTTAAATAAAAGTGCAATGAAATGATCAACCACACCTTTTTTCCTTATTAGCTTTTTCTTCCATTTTTTCCCCGTAGCTAGAGACTGCAAGGAGGACCGGAGAACGTGCGGACTAGATCCCCGGGCAAGGACCAATCTGCGGCAGAATTCACAAAGTTAAAGAACATAATTTACAATGTAAATAAATTTAAATGTAAGGTGTGGTGGCTGAACCATCTTTGAGACGTTGCTTATAGCAAGGGGGCCGGTATGTTTAGGCCTCCACGCTAAATCAAATACTTAAATTAAATTATCGGGTGTACCACCGTAATGTTAATTTAACAGATGCACACACATACACATTCGTATGTGAAACAAGACAAAAAGAAAAACTGCACTTTTCCTGTCAGTGCACTTTCGTTAAACTTCCCCTGAAAACGGAACTCTTCAAACCGTTTAGAGGGTTCGACTTCAGTTTCTAACTTTTTAAACATTCTATTGAATTTCAATCACCAGCGATTACGGACGTTCCGCCACCACACCACTTCATAATCAAGGTAACATTGTAAGCCCCCTTGAATTTTAATATGCCTATTAAATAAACCGCCAAACGTAATTATATTTCAAACTAAAACCTGGTGCTTTTGTTTTCTTATTTTTTCAATAAAAAACACTGGTGCACTTATCGGGTCGCCAGGGTTTTTCAAATATTATTTATAGATATTAAAGAAAATTCAAAAGATCCCTTTGGCCAAATTTTCAAAATCTGGTTTTACGTCAGTTAAAGCGGTTCGTTACAGTTATGTTAAATGTTGGTTAGTCAATATAGTCGTACTTGCGTTTAAAATCTCCCGTAAAAAATGTCCAACAGCAAAATTCCGGCGAAATGTCATCTGTTCTCTCAAAGAGAGAAATATCTAAAATAGTACCTACGCGAACAGAAAATTTGCAGAAACTTGCAAGTTAGACGAACAGCTCATAGAAATTTTGTTTACATTCGAAAGTATAAAATTGAAAACATAAGAAAACAAATCCCGAAGTATTAACCTGACACAGTTCACTGACTAAACGAATAATTACTTACTTCTTATAAGTTTAATTAGTCTCATTTTACTATTTTATCTTCCAAACCATCAAATTCAATTTAGAGATTTGCGTAAATTCCTACCAGCTGTTTTCTTGTTTTCAAAAATTTTTCCAGCAGAAACTAGCAGGTCTCCCTCAAAATTAAATGTCATTTTGTTTTCTCAATTTCCCCTACTTTGCAAGTTTTTTGTGTACGCGAACACAAAAAGCTGATAGTTTTTATAACTTTCAATAATTATTGAATAATTATAATTATCAGGTACGCGAATGCAACTAATTGTGAACGGTATTTTGACTTTACGAATTGCATTGTAGAAAATTGAAAATATACGGGACGCAACTGTTTTCAGCAGCGGATATTTTAAATCTGGTACTTGTTACCGGAATTCAAGCCATAGGAAAGCGAAGAAGAGTTTTAGTTTTTGCTCCTTGTATTGCAAATTCATCCTCAATTATGTTACATAAAAAAGGGTTTATGAAGTATGCAAACGTACACTTAAATAATTTCAAATCGGTAAATCTTTTTTCAAAATGTGCTTTTAAATCATGTGCAATATTTTTTCTAGGCCATGGAAAATTATGGAATATTCTTGTTTTGAGATCGTAGTTTAGCTTCACAATGTGCTTTTAAATCATGTGCAATATTTTTTCTAGCCATTGAAAAGTATGGAATATTCTTGTTTTGAGATCGTAGTTTAGCTTCAAAATTTTAAATAATTTGCGACAAATCAAAAAAATTTGATTCTCTCCATGTAGAGACAAATTCAAGTCTTGCAAATGTTCCATCATATCGGTAAAGAACATTAAGTCAGAAAGACAATTTTCATTCTCCGATTGAGGATAATATTCCGATCTCAATTTGGGTATGTGTATATACAAAGAATAAAATAAAAAAACAACACAACGGAAAAGAATGTTCAGCAAAGAAATATGTATTTTAAAAAGTAAAAAGAGACAAAATTTTCTAAATAAAGAGAAAGTTGCAATATTTATTGAAATATCGTAGTTTTTCGCAGTTTTCGAAAATACCGTT